CCACCTTCATTCTCGATTACTTGCTGCAGCCTGTTGAGAACGGAGGCGACGTGATTGTGTATCAGTTGCTGTGTCCGCCTCAGGACCTCCCACTCACGGTGTGTATGCTCCTGTAGCTGCACCCTGGTTCTCTCTTCAGCTGGCTCCCACACGTTCACAATTGGCCCAAACGTTCTCTATAGGGTTCATGTAACAACCTTTACTTGGCCAGTCTAAAACGTGCAAGTTTCTTTGTTCTGCAAACCACTGTGTTACAATCCTATCGTGCATGAAAATTATGTTTTTGGGAAACGGGAAAGCATATGCACGGACCGAGGGAAGCATGACTTCTTCGAGTATTTCTAAATACTGTTCAGCTGTGAATCTTCCTTCTATGTCAGTCAGCTCTCCAACTCCATGCAAATATATCCATCCCCAAACATTGCAAGTCACATGGCCACTCCTTGCGTCCTCATAAATATGCTGTCTGCCATATCGGGTGTTGTTCCTCCTCCAGCAATGCAACCTTCCGTGAGAGGTAGATAGGAAAGTTTTTTCGTCAGTGAATATTACTCATCCCCAGAAATCTAGGCCTTCTTCAGCATACCGTCGAGCAACCTGCCCTCGCGATGTCGCTCATTTAACTTCTCCTTGGTGGCGGGAGTTCTATGGTGAATGCCTCCTTTGTGAAGTCTTCGCCTGATTGTTAAAGGGGAAATATTTAAATGGAGATCCTCTCTTATTGAAAATTAAATCTTGAAGGGGTTGGCCTCAGCGAAATTCCGGATGGCTTTAACTTGTGCAAGTGTTGTTCTGCGCGGCATTCCCGTCCTGTGGTGGTCCTTTAAAATTCCCTCCTCTTTCCATCGCTTAATACAATAATATACAGTTGACCGACAAATCCCCAATTCTAGGCCAATTTCAGTGGGTAAAAACCCAGTCTCCTTCATGCCGATTATTTTTCCACGTTCAGTGATTTTCTGCGTGTGGTATTCCATGTTGGCAGGAGTCTTCTACAATTGAGGGAGTGGAAGGGTAGTCAGCAGACTCAGCACTGACAACACCTGTCTCCCTCACCTTCCCGCCAATAACGTCAGCATTTATAAAAAATAAATGAATGAATAAGTAAATAAATAAGATACAAATTTATAATACCTCATACACATATATTTTTTTTAAAGACACCAGACTAAAGGTGACATAATCTGCACAAGTCAGAAACAAGGATTTAGGGGGGGCAAGTAGTCACTCAACGAAAGAAATACCATTTGCTGTTTACAATATTCAGAGTCTTGGAATGACAATGATAATGCCAGATAAAGTCTTGTAAAAGTATTAGGCATATGCTACCTCACTAATTCACACCATCAGACGGATGGTTCGTAAGATTAATTACCATCACTTTCATTTGAACAACGTCATTCTTAAATACAGACGCAGGCTGACGCACACACACACACACACACACACACTCCACACACACGCTCTCCACACGAACACACACACACTCCACATGCACACTCACACTCCACATGCGTGCGCACACACTCCATATGCACGCGCTCACACACTCCCCATGCACGCTCGCGCGCACACACACACACTACAGGTAGCAGTGAACCCATGATTCTGTTTAATCCCACAGCAAATTAAAACAGCAGTTTGTGTAACATGAAATCAGCGTCTTTAGAAAGAAGTCTGTTTAGCATCGGTTACATACAACTGGATTAAACGTATGAAGATAATAATAGTATAAATTAATGATAAACAGGTTACCTCATACATTGCTCATTGCTCTATCAATTTTAAAATCAAATGAACAGTATATACCAGCAGAAAGGTAAAATATAATACGAAACAACAAAGCCCAACCATTAATTAAGCAGCGGGGAACTAAGTAACCAATCACCGATCACTTTTACATTCATTCATAATTTTTACTACGTAGTATAGTAAACAAACGGCCTTGAGTTGCCAGCTGTCTCCAGGAGTGTTCGAAGAATCTTGGACGAGACTGTACATTGAAATCCCCAAGGTAGAGGATCTCGGTGTTGGGGTGTGTGGATAGCAACGACTCATGGCAAGAAGTGAGATAGTCAAAGAGTTCGAAATAGTTGGTAGAGTTGGGAGAACAGTATAGGAAACAAAGAAAAATAGTCACAGTTGGTAGAGATATTTTGAGCCAGATGACATCAGAAAGGGGAGATTCAAGATCCGTGAGTCGAGCTATAGGTGTATGTGTGTTACAGTAGGCGCATACACCTCCCTTAGAACGGAAAGAGATATAGAGGTTGTAATTGGGGACTTGAAAATGTTTGGGTGAAGCTACTTTGGTCAGTTGAAGTTCGGAAAGTAGTGAGAGGTTGGGGGAAGAGGTTAATAGATGGTGCTCCACAGAAGGAAAATTGGATCTCAGGCCGCGAATGCTGGAAAAATTAAGTGTGAAAAAAGCCGGCGGTGGCGTCAGTTGAGGCCCCAGTAACTTGATGATGATCAGGTCGGCCATGAGGTCCACAACCTTCCCGACCAGTGGGACCCATCTGAGAAGGCGCCGCTTCAATATTAATATCAACTGACATAGGAGAATAAAATAGAATGAATTAAACAGATCAAGAGTGAGTACGGTTATATTTGTTGTGTTGTCAATAGTAAGAGAGACAATTGAGACCCTGTATTTGTGTGTAAATGAGGCAGAGAGATAGATCAGCAACCTGGGACTTGGTCACAGTTTTCGTGATGCCAAATGGCAGCAGAGTCTACCATTAGACAACACATTATGCTTCCAATATCTTCTCAGGTCAAGGTTAAAATATTACAAGGGTAATTATGATGGGATGAGGGTTATCCATGAGCCTGACTCACTGAGGTATAAGAACACAAGACACTATGCTGAATATCAAAGCCGGTAAAGTGAACAATTTTATCGATAAATATATACCCAAGACCAAACCCAGTGCCTCTTGGAATACAAGGAGACTGCTACACATGAACCATGCGGTGGTCGACAAAGTTAAGAAGAAAACTCAGAAATTTGAGATGTGGGTTAGGACAAATGATGATCAGGACAGGAGGATGTATGCCAGATTCAGGAATCAAGCAAAGTCAGAGTGTAGAAGGACTAAAAAAAGAGTTCCAGGGGTGGATTACGAGCGAAGTCAAGTTAAACCCAAAGGCGATTTGCTGCTACACAGTCAAAATTAAAAAAGCGAGTAGGCATATAGGACCTGAGGCATGAAGACGGTAGTTACACAGATTCTGACCAGGACAAGGCGGAGGTGTTGAGCAGATTCTTTTCCTCGGTATTAACAAGAGAGGATACGAACAATCTTCCTACGTTTGAGGACAGATAATTTGACATAGTGCTGACCCACATTGTGTTCTCAGAATTGGGTATAAGACATAAACTGTCAAAGCTAAAGCTTCATAAGAGTCCCAGCCCTGACATGGTGTATCTCAGAATCAAAGAGAGTTGTTCAGTGAGCTTAATGAGCCCCTGAAGATCCTGTTCTGTAAATGCCTGGACGAGCAAATGGTTCCGAGTAGATTGTTCCAAGAGTTTACAACCCTCACTCCGAAAAAGTTTGCCCTCACGGTTTTCTGGACTTGCGGCTTTTTCAATCTTGAGCTGTGACCCCTTGTGGGGCGAGCGTCCGCCAGCTCCAAGTAAGGACACTCAAATGAGTAGTGCCCCCTGAGATGCTTATACACTTCAACTAGGTCCCCCCCTTGCCCGTCTGTAGTATAAGCTAGACAAGTTCAGGCGCCCCACTCTCTCAGGGTAGCTGAGGTGCCGAAGTGCAGGCACCAGTCTGGTGGCCCTCCTTTGAACATTTTCAACCAACTGACAGTCCCTAGCATATCTCGGGGACCAGATGGGGTGACAGTACTCCAGATGGGGAAGCACTTCACTCCTGAAGATCGTTATGAGGGACGGACCGTCTAGATATCTGAACAACCTTCTTATAAGACCCAATAATTTATTTGCCTGATTTACCTTCTTCTCACAATGGCCCGAGAACTTCAGCTCATTGTCAACATACACACCTAGGTCCTTCTCACACACAGTCTCAACTAGTGCAGTTTCTTCATCCCGTTGGGACATATGATACGCCTCCTTACCGTTGGTACCCCCCAGGTGCATCCTCTTACACTTCATGACATTGAATCTCAGCAGCCATTTCTTCGACCATTTCTGGAGCCCACAGAGGTCCTTCTGCAGCTCTTCACAGTCCGCTTGGTTCTTAATTTCCCGAAATAACTTGGCGTCATCGGCAAACATTTGTATGGAGGAGTGTACAACGTCAGGTATGTCATTTATGAAACAAACAAACAACAGCGGGCCCAATACACTGCCCTGTGGTACCCCACTTGTTACAGGTACAGATGACGATTTTGTGCCATTAATCACCACACACTGCTTGCGGTCATGTAGAAAGTCTTCTATCCACACTAGGACATTACCCCGAATTCCGTACCCTTCCAGTTTGATTTTCAGCCTTTCGTGGGGTACACTGTCGAAAGCCTTGGCAAAATCTAGGTAAATATTGTCGATATTACCACCCCGTTCCAGAATATGGGTCCAAATGTCCAATACCTTGAGCAATTGTGTTAAGCAAGAGCGCCCCGGCATAAAACCGTGTTGGCAATCTTTTACAAGGTTGTTTCGTATTTGATGTTCCATTGCAGCATCTCTGATAATACTCTCAAGTACTTTACATATTATGCTGGTCAGGCTCACCGGTCTATAGTTGTTCGTGGAGTGACGATCGCCCTTCTTGAAGATAGGACTCACATAAGCCACTTTCCATTCACTGGGGACCATTTGTTCATCCAGGCATTTACAAAACAGGATCTTCAGGGGCTCTGCAAGCTCGTATAATAACAATACCCAGGTAGCACCAATTTACTGCAATAATTCATGGTCCAGCCTAATTGCAGTTAGGCTACAAAGTTACACAGATTTCACTAGATTGTAAAGTTGCAAAAAAATTCTCTTATCTAAAAGCTGAGGGATGTTGCAGATATTCTCAGACACGGGTATTGTGGAAGGGGAGCTACAGCCACTGGTCAACTGGCACAACAATACGCAGGAGGTGCTAGACGCTGCCAGAGAGGGCCCAGGGGAGCAAGGCAGGCCCCACTACCTCGGACCAGGCCTCGAGAAGAAGAGGGATGATCTGTATTACACCAATGGTTTCAATGCCCTCCTCAGCGATGACATCGCACTTGACAGGTCACTTAAGGACATCCGGCATCCCAAGTGAGTCCAAGGCAGGTTTTCAGCAAGACAGGTTGGGGAAAAATGGCAGAGGGTTTTTAAGGTTGGGTCAATTTATAAATTCATTAGTTAAGAGTAAGTATAAATTGCATAAATCAGGGTCAGTGTGTGGAGACTTATGAATAGGTAAAGTGGGTAGGTTCAGTAAATGAGGATAAATTGGCTGAGTTTGTAAGGGATGGGGTGTGTGAGGTGGATAGTCATTGGGGTGGGTAAGGTGGAATGAGTAAGATGGACAGGGTGTTGGCTTAATGATGTATTATAAATACAGATCAATACATAGGTAGCACATCATCTTAAAAATGCAACCATGTTTAAATATAAAGCCTTATTAACACAGTCTCCATATAGCATATTTTATTGCAATATTCTCTAATTATAATATTTTCTAAATCACACACATGCACACGGAAGAATTCCAAAAATATATGGTGGTTATTGCTTTGACTGGATCAATTTGTACACCTATCTTCATGTCTACACCCAAATTAGTGCACAACTCGCCCTCCAACAACTCTTTCTCTCCTCAGATGCAAGACAAAGTTATACAGTGCCAAACTGCCAACAGTCAGCATAGTGATTCCCTTCTTTGAGGAGCACTGGACAACCCTCCTACGTACAGTCGTCTCTGTAGTTAAACATTCCCCACGACACCTCCTGAAGGAGATCATCTTGGTTGATGATGGCAGTACCATAAAGGGTGAGTCACTCGGATACTTACAAGAAAAAAAGACTGATTGGCTAGTAAACTGACAAGTGACAAAGAGAAAAAGTGGGTTGATCACAACTCTACCATTGGGAAAAATTGGAAATATTTTAGGTCATAGAGAAATATTAATCACACTATCCCACAGAATTGGAAAGAAATCGAGGAAACGGAGGTGAATTTTTTTCTAAGAAAAGGTACTGTACAGTATTGTACAGTACATGGCAGGTGCTATAACATTAAATCCTTTAGTACTAAGACTGAACCATATGAGTACAGTACAATATCATATTACAGTACAGTACCTGTAATAAGGGAATAGCCATAGAGTTCACAGGGTTAAGTCATCATACCCATTGTGTTAAGTCACTGTACTCAATGAGTTATTTTAATCAACTAATCCACAATATTCAGGAGGTTGGCATTGTTCTGAAGGTGTTTAGGGACATTCACATAACCCTGTTCTGAGTCAAGAGGGTGGCCGGATATTGAGAGCATTGGCGAAGTTCTGCATGGAGGCAAGCTGAGATGATTTGGGCATGTGGAGAGAATGGATAAGACCAATTGGGTCAAGAGGTGTATGAGCCTAAATCTGGAGGGGAGGAGAGGCAGGGGTAGGCCAAGAATTACATGGGGAGAGGTTGTAAGAAATGACATTACAATTAAAAACTTGACAAGAGAGACTGCAAGAGACCATGCAGCATAAAGAGCTGCCATCAGGTAACTGCAGCTGACCCATGCAATACAGAAAATGCCCATATATATATATATATATATATATATATATATATATATATATATATATATATATATATATATATATATATATATATATATATATATTTATATATATATATATATATAATATATATATATATATATATATATATACAGTATATATTATATATATATATATATGTATATATATATATATATATATATATATATATATATATATATATAAATATATATATATATATATATATAAATATATATAATATATACTATAAATATATATATATATATATATATATAAATAAATATATATGTGTGTGTGTGTGTGTGTGTGTGTGTGTGTGTGTGTGTGTGTGTGTGTGTGTGTGTGTGTGTGTGTGTGTGTGTGTGTGTGTGTGTGTGTGTGTGTGTGTGTGTGTGTGTGTGTGTGTGTGTGTGTGTGTGTGTGTGTTGTGTGTGTGTGTGTGTGTGTGTTTTTGTGTTTTTTTGTTTGTTGTGTTTGTTTTTTTTTGTTTTTTTTTTTTTGTGTGTGTGTGTATTTATATATTATGTGTGTGTTTCTGTGTGTGTGTGTGTGTGTTTGTGTGTGTGTGTGTGTGTGTGTGTGTGTGTGTGTGTGTGTGTGTGTTATATATATAAATATATATATATAAATATATATATAAATATATATATAAATATATATATAAATATATATATAAATATATATATAAATATATATATATATATATATATATATATATATATATATATATATATATATATATATATATAAATATATATATATATATATATATATATATATATATATATATATATATATATATATATATATATATATATATATATATATATATATATATATATATAAACCTTTACAAAAACTATCATTCTGGTATCATTCACATCCTAAAGTTATCATGCTGTATTAGAATCTACACCAGAACTACATCATACTCTGGTGTTGTGTACAGGTCAAATATTAACACTTGCTACCTATGAACAGATTTCCTGAAGGATCCATTGGACAACTGGCTGAAGGAACACGTTCCCATTGCTAAAGTTATACGTCTGCCTTCTCGGGTAGGGCTGATTGTTGCCCGCCAAGAGGGTGCCAAGGCCGCCACAGCTGATACCATTGTGGTCCTGGATTCCCACTGTGAGGTCATGGTCAACTGGCTGCCTCCCCTCCTGGGTAAGTTCTCAATGGATATGTGTCATCAAAACTGTGAAGTTACCACCACCTGGCTTTCACATCTACGTTTAGTCAGGTGTGTTTGAGTTATCAGTACTGTAGAACAATCTCAATCACCTGCCTCCTACCCTTCTATGCAGTCCTGCAGTAGGTACCCTAGTGAGATCACAAGCAACTGCCTCTTACCCTCCTTTTTGAGTCCAGAGTGAGTTAGTTACAAGTTAAGAGTTGCAAAAAGTACCAGACCTTGTTGCTTAAGTAAAAGTATTGTTACATTGGCAAAATGTTACTCAAGTAGATGTAAATGTATCCAAAGTTCAATGTACTTAAGTAGAAGTAAAAAGTATCTCATTCATAAAGTATTCAAGTACTGAAAGTAAAAAGTAACAACAAAATTATTGACTCAAATGTTAAAATAAATCCACAGTAAATTATATAAAAAAATAGTTAATTAAAGATAAAAAAACAAAACCCATAGCATTACACATGTTTATTTGCAAATCTTTCTATTCAGATTAATCAATAACCGATTCTTGAAATAATGGCTGTCCAATCAGGATCTTTTAGGCCTAAATATAAGCCTGGCAAGACCTACCGAAAGAGAATACGTCCATCTGCTCTCTCTAGAATCCATCACAAGGATAGTGAACGGGCTGAAAATATATCCATCCAATACTATGATCATTTTCTTCTTATCCATACAAGTATCGTTGACTGGACTTATGGTCCGCAGACATGTTATCTCTGCTTGCATTAGGTTAGGATACAGACCTATCTGGCAAGTATCTGAGGCGGGGGATGACTCGCACTTATCTTCCTGTCTACTTTGTAACTGTCCCAACCAGTACCGGATGATCCATTAGGCACAGTAGGCACAGTGCCTAGGGCCTACGAGATATTGGGGGCCTACGAAAAATAAAACGAGAACTTTTCTTCCCCTTTTTCTACAGGTTATTATTAAATTGATACTGAGGTACTTTTTTCCATTTATTTATTACTTAATCCTATTAGTATCTATTTATGTTACTTGATTATTTTCTATACTACAGTATTCTATTTAGGCATATTCATGGCAAACATCACTGAATCTTATTCTTTCGACATCACATTTTATAATTAGGTACTACCTTGTGTTATTAGTGAATATGCTGTCAAATGGGACCCCATATCTTGGAGGTGCCTAAGGCCTACGAAAGTCTTAACCCGGCCCTGGTCCCAACGCTAACACCTTTCAACACGATTGTGTTGACTGTCCTACTGTCAGGGACCTCCTACCTCAGAACGAATCACTAACCACTATATGTCACCACCTACTTATTTGTAATAATTTAGATTTAGTTCTTATATGCTACCCATGCTTTGGTGGGTGCTAACTCCCATTGTCCTTAAATAATATCAATATTATCTCCAAATCACAAGTCATAGCGTGTCCTGTTAGACACAAGTACCAATGTATTAGTATCTGACCGCATGGTTTTGTGACTAGGCTTGTCGCCCCCTGGGGTGTAATAAAGTAATTTAATAATAAATAATAAGCCCGACATAACTAAGCAGATGCTCACAAGCAGCAGATGCAGTCCGCACAAAGCATGTGTTCCAACTTACGTACAAATCTGACTTAAGAATGTCCTCAGGAACAGAACCCGTTTGTAACCCGGGAATCCCCTGTACTATACTGTACTGTACTATACTATAATACTGTACTAATACTATAATACACTATACTATACAATACTATACTATACTATACTATACTATACTATACTATACTACCACAGCAGTTGCAGTAAGTATGGTCTGTATTATTCTTGACAGTTGGAATTTCTTCAATGCCTGACACAGTAAAGCGTAAATCAAAGTTCTAGATAATTCTTTGATCCAGAATCAAGATACATTAATGAAAGCCAACACCTTGATGGGCTGATGTCATAATATACAGTGACCCCTCCGTTAACGAACTCAATCCGTTCCAGAAGGTCGTTCGTTAACCGAAAAGTTCGTTAACAGAAACCATTGTTTCAATGGGTTTTTGGGTAATTGGTTCCAGCTCACCGAAAATTTCCTAAATTCAACAAAAATGGTAGAAAAGTTCACTTACTTTGAGGTGTGTATGTAGAAGGCTCCTGGATGATGATGATGATGATGGGATTTAGAATGGGGGTGGAGGAGAAGGAAGAAGAGAAGGCATTGGGGTGGAAGAGAAGTCACCCCATGGTGCCATTTCACCCATAAAATTTTAGCTCTCTTGGTGTAATTCAAGATTATTTTCTTTAAATCAACACTGCACTGCATTATATATTGTAAATATGTAAAATATATTTCAAAATGACCAATAATTTGCTTGGAAACACAGAAAAAAAGCGTTTAGTTGAAGAGAGTCTCAAGCAAGATGTTACCTCCAGTGAAAACAGAGAGAGACTAACTCCTGTTTGCTGTGTTAAGAGGCTGGATGGCACGCATTAAACTAGTCACTTTACCTTCAATTATGTTCAATAATTGTTAAAATTACTAAAAAATTGAATATAAAACTTTTAAAATTATTGAATAGTATAAACTTCTTGATATTTACTAAAATAGTAAGAAATTTAAGCCCTAGAACCGATTACTGTATTGGCGGACTGATACTAAAGCTGGTTGCCCGGTCAGTGCAAGCGAAAACATGTTGAGGTCGGTTCGTAAGAAATTCGTTAACCGAATTTTTGTTCGTTAACCGAATTGAAGATCCTTATGGAAGGCAGTTCGTTAATCGAAATTACGTTAACCGAGGTGTTCGTTAAACGAGGGGTCACTGTATTTACAACTGAGATTTTGTCCTGTTTCATTATGGCACAAGTCAACCATCAGGATGTTGTGGCATATATGCACTACTATACTGTAGTCATGGCCAACAACAGGCTAACAAGTTGGCAAAGAGAATAAAAATGAAATACGATGAGATTTATCATAATGATAAAAAACAAAACATTTTCTGCCAAGTTAAATGTAAACAAAAATCTCTTATTCAACCCTGTTACTTCCTTTAGATAAATGTCAAACTCTTTAAAATACATCAAAACTTTCTTCAGTTAAGCACAAAACCTCTATCAAATCTTAAAACTTCCTTGATAAAAATATTTGTATCATAACCTAAACCTTCCTTAAACTTGCACTGTATGTTTGTATGTATGTATGTGGACAGTATTAAAAACCATGGTGAACATCAACATAAATGAACAATCAAGTTCATAACACAGTAACAAAGAACAAACAACTATCTGAACAGCTACTGTAGTAAGAGGTGAAATAATAAATTTAATTAAATGGAATATTCTTACATAAGTGAGTCACAACCTGCACCTTTACCTGGACAGATCCCATCGTTGTCAACTACCGCACCGCTGTGTGTCCGCTCATTGATGTGATCAACAAGGACACATTTGCCTACTCCCCGCAAGACAATGGTGCTCGGGGAGCCTTTGACTGGCGATTATACTACAAGAGGTTACCGCTGACAGACAAGGACAACAATCTCTTACCAGAGCCATTTGAGTAAGCTGTGATGACACATTTTGTTCAATCACAGCAGGGAAAATTCACTCGCCTTCTGTATCGAGATAGCATTAAAGCAGTTTGGTTTCATGAAAAAGAAAATTAAGTTATCCATTAATTCTGCATTTTTCCTTATCAATTAATTTAGCTTTGTTTCCAAGTTACCAATTTAGTTAGCCATTTAAGTTACCAGTTATATTTTTACCAAGTACAATAATTGTATTTCAAATTACCAGTAGTGGCTTATAACCTTCCTCAGTGTAGTGCTTTGTCAGTCTCAACCATCACCAAAGGTAATACAATAAAAAAGTTCTATAAACTCCTGTGTAACAGACAAAACAGAAAGAATGTGTTGTAATGTATTAACGAACTTTATTCAACAAACAGAATATACAATGATAGACAACCAGGCTCAAAATATATGACAATATCTTTAGTATAAGGCATTTTCTGTACTCGAAACACTAAAATTAGGAATTTGTGGAGTGGGTATTTTTGATTACCTACTTAAGAATGTCCTCAGTAATTCTAAGACTCTGAAGAAGAATCTGTGATGCATATCAAAATCTTATGAGGTTCATTTAAAATCCACCCCCCCTCCATTTTTTTTTTATCCAGGATGACAATTTAAAGTTAAGAGTAACTTTTCCTTACTATCAGGAACCCAATTATGAATGGAGGATTGTTTGCCATTAGCCGCAAATTCTTCTGGGAGTTGGGAGGCTACGACCCTGGCCTGGCCATCTGGGGTGGTGAGCAGTATGACCTGTCCTTCAAGGTGGGTGAATAATTAGGTGATCCACTTTGTGTACAGTATTATTGAAGAGGACCCACTGATAGTACAGTACTGTTTTGGTCCTATGTTTGTTGGTAGAAATATAAAACTAGCAATACGAGTCCTTCAAGGTAGCTAAGTAGAACTAAGAGCATGTTAGAGGATGCAAATGCTCCTCTTTGTGTAATGCTTTGAGCTCTGTGCAAAAATTCAACTACCAACAACAACAATGCCAACCAGATGCCAGGAGGTAGCAACATCTCTTTATCCTTAAAAGAAAGGAACTAAACATGGTTCATTGGCAGTAGGACCATCCAAAGTGAAAAGTAGTTGTACTCAACATTAGTACAGTATTTTGAGCCAGATAAGTGATGATGAAAAAATATATTTATTTTTAGTATGAATTCCAAGATTGATAACAACTAGAATAGTTTTCCAATGATGACTGAATTCTGAATAACATCACAAATCGATACAGTCTTCTACTTCCACTTGCCTTCACTTATACAGTATTCTATAATGTACTTCTATAAAGCAAATATATTTGAAATAATCGAGCTCTAAATCTATCATCCATCACAGACACCAACAGTAACTAAATCTATTATAATACTATGGGTGCCAAGATCTTCAGGGAGGAGGGTTGAAAATTATCTTTACTTCAAGCTTCATGTACATTTTATCTTCACATATTCAAAAATTATCTTCTGCTTTATCAGTATTTTGTTTCTCCTTCAGTGTAAGCTGCCCATCAATTATACAAAGAGTGTCTCAAACACACCTTTTCTTGTAGCATTAAAAATGAGTTTGTGTTGTAGATCTGGCAGTGTGGGGGCAGAATGCTGGACGCTCCCTGCTCGCGGGTGGGCCACGTCTTCAGGGGCGCTCCTAAAGGTCGACCATCAGTCAAGGGAGACTTCCTCAGTAAGGTTCGTCAACATCCACTTTCCCCTGTGAGATCAATTATCCAGCAATCTGTCATAATACCTTGTACTTCACAGATCAAATCTCTACTTTTACTGTACTGTAAAAGAAATTAAATGTACAGTAATTAAATAACATATTAATTATTTTTTACAAACAAAACTCTGAATATAATATTCTAGAAGATATGAACTAATTTAAGAGTTGTGAACTCTTGGAACAATCTGCCCGAGTGTTGTGATGGCACCGAGTGTAAGCTCTTTCAAGACCAGACTTGACCAACACTGGAGCAGGTTCAGGTACATTCAGGAGCCGGTGCATGCCCAGTACTTGCCAACAGTGAGTAACAGAGACGTGACCAATCACCCAACCAGCTAACGAGCCGATCAGTGGTGAAGAGGAAAAAGTAAAAGTTAACATTTCTCTAATTTTGATAACATAAGTCTCAGAATAGTTTAAGATTATGGGCTAATTTTCTGCCATACTTGTATAAACAGTTTCTCAGTGACATCTCATGATGATCATGATGATGGATAAGGTTTCATCTAAATGTATCACTGCATTAAGTAACTTCAGAATATGCTGAACTGGACTAATATTATCACATTAGCAATGTCAGTACAAATGAAAATACTTGTAATCATTCATTATAAACTGTACAGAGTGTGGCAGCTAAGTGAATACAGCACTCTTCCCTTATGCTAAGGCTACTGGTTTGTGGCCAGGGCACCTTTTAGTCTAATCTAATAGGAATGAGTGACAAATTTTGTACAGTATACATTGGGAAGTGAAGATGGTTGCTTGTAGTGCCAGCCACACTGCCACCAACCAGAGGCTAAGTGTTCACTGTGGTGTTTCCTCTTTAGCTAACATGACCAACTTTACTTTTCACCAACTTGATACAGTAATAATGATAATGAAAAAATCTCAGGACTCTTAATCATTATATTCGTCTGTTTTATAAGATGTCATTTACCATTTTCCAGTACAAAAACTACACATCATCTTTCCTAGTTCAGTGTTCTGCTCAAATACAGTACGGTACTGTATTTCCCAGCTTTGCATGGGTTAGGTATACTACAATTGAGGCCGAATGACCCCGAGTTGACAAAGCGCCACTGTGGTCAAAATCGAGATTTATTCACAAATAATAGAGAAACCATCTCTGTATCCCAAGAGAGACTCGGTTACTCAGAATGGAAGTAGAAATATGGTTGATTTTGGTATCTAAGTAAAACTACCTATATGTACTCGTACATCAATATGTGCAGGGCTGGCAGGTGGCAGATCAGAGAGAGGAAAGTGCCAGCGGTCTCCTTTTTTTCTGGCGTTTTCACCACTTTGGTTGGACACACCTCAGTTATATAAACTTGACTGTCACAGTTTGCCCTTCCTGACATGGGTAACCACCTTCCGCAATCGCCATGGCAATGTCTCAGTTGGAGAAAAAAAAATTTTCTTGCCTGGACCACCCGAGGGTCCATGATCAATAATACCATGATGCACAACCTTGGATTCCATGTAATATGTGTGTAAAATTTCAGGTCTCTAACTGCTTCTATTCTGGAGCTATAGCTGGAACAGACAGACAGAGGACAGGCACTCATCACAGACAGACATTTGGGGTCCACGGTCAATAGTACTGTAATAGCAGGAACTTGGGACCCATGTAATATGTGTGTGTAAAGTTTCAGGTTTCTAACTGCTTCTGTTTTGAAGCTATAGCTGGAACAGACAGACAGAGAGACAGACACATCCGTTTATTATTATAAATTCATTTTTAACATTAATGTTCTCTATGAACTCTTATACATCTGTCTGCTAAATTTACTCGTATACCTTGGAAATCCAACATATAATACCCAGTTCCCTCTCTGTAAAAAAAGTGTGGAAAATGTCTATAATCTGAGGCGCTCCGCGTCAGAAGGGGGTGAAGTGCCAAATTAAAAAAAACCTGAGAAAAACGCGTTTAAAGTTTTTTGAAGTACAAAAAACCATAACTTTTTTGTTTTTTAATCTAGAGGGTTCATTTTTTATTGTGGGTTAATACCGTACTGTAAAACAAGTTAATGATCACCAAAAAGAGCACTCTCGCCTTACACCCCCCCCCATAACCCCCAATTATTTTTCCAAATAATAATTAAAAACTCGTTTGCCTATCAGTATTTATCTTTCCATCTCTATTATTAGCCAAAGATTTATAATACTGTTAAGTATAATACAGTGACCCCTCCATTAACGAACTCAATCCGTTCCAGAAGGTCGTTCGTTAACCGAAAAGTTCGTTAACAGAAGCCATTGTTTCAATGGGTTTTTGGGTAATTGGTTCCAGCTCACCGAAAATTTCCTAAATTCAACAAAAATGGTAGAAAATTTCACTTACTTTGAGGTGTGTATGTAGAAGGCTCCTGGATGATGATGATGATGATGGGATTTAGAATGGGGGTGGAGGAGAAGGAAGAAGAGAAGGCATTGGGGTGGAAGAGAAGTCACCCCATGGCGCCATTTCACCCATAAAATTTTAGCTCTCTTGGTGTAATTCAAGATTATTTTCTTTAAATCAACACTGCACTGCATTATATATTGTCAATATGTAAAATATACTTCAAAATGACCAATAATTTGCCTGGAAACACAGAAAAAAAGCATTTAGTTGAAGAGAGTCTCAAGCAAGATATTACCTCCAGTGAAAACAGAGAGAGACTAACTCCTGTTTGCTGTGTTAAGAGGCTGGATGCCGCGCATTAAACTAGTCACTTTACCTTCAATTATGTTCAATAATTGTTAAAATGACTAAAAAAATTGAATATTAAACTTTTAAAATTATTGAATAGTATAAACTTCTTGATATTTACTAAAATAGTAAGGAATTTAAGCCCTAGAACCGATTAATGTATTGGCGGACTGATGCTAAAGCTGGTTGCCTGGTCAGTGCAAGTGAAAACATGTTGAGGTCGGTTCGTAAGAACTTCGTTAACCGAATTTTTTTTCGTTAACCGAATTAAAGATCCTTATGGAAGGCAGTTCGTTAATCGAAATTACGTTAACCGAGGTGTTCGTTAAACGAGGGGTCACTGTATTGTGTAATAATAAAGAACCACCACTACATTCATCCCCTCCACCATTAACCTCTCCCCACCCCAACGTAATTAACATACAAATACAAAGGTGGGGGAAGTTTGCATAATCTTTGGTGAAAACAGTACAGTATTATGACAATAGTATTACAATCTTACTTTGTTTAGTTCCTTCGTTTTATTATCCCTGAAGATCGTAGCAACTTGAAGTTACATAAATCCGGAGGAGTGCGTATAACTTTAATGGCCGCGTCATAATCAATCACATACTGATCAAAGTCTTTCTCTGTCCTCTCTAAAAATCGCCAAACAGATTCTTCATCAACTAAATCATTGATTATTGATGCCGGCAACAGTTCAGTTTCATTTTAAGACTGAGGTATGGGCTCACTTTCACTAGCATTCATAGGGTCAGGCTCGCTTTCATCACTATCAGGGTCAATGCATGTCTCGTCACTGTCCACTTCTACCTCCTCACAGTCTGTATGTTCTTGTTGTGATACATTAGAGTCTCAGTTTCTGTTACCATTAGACTCACTTTCATTGTCATTATTGCCGTCAGTGCATGCCACGTAACTCTGTACCGGATCACAGTCTAAAAAGGTCTTGTGATGCATATCAGTCACTTTTTGTATTATGAGTATATACAGTACTCAGTTTCATCTGTTTCAAGCTCACTTTCACCATCATTATCATTGTCAGTGCATGCCACATTGTCTTTTAACTCATCATAATCTGCAAAAAGATTTTCGGACGCTTTATATCACGCTAAAAAGTTATTCTGTGCGTTCAAAGTGTTATTGTCATTATGATAATCACTTTCATCATGCAGTAAGTCAATTTCAGTGTCGACAGGTAAGTCATCATAGTCTCTAAAAAGATCTTCCGATGGTTCATAACGTGATGTATGTTTTTTTCTGCAATCATGCGCATCACCTGCACCATCACCAGTAGCACTTGTATCACCATAATAATTACAAAATTCACCACCAAAATCACTATCACCAAGTGTTACTGGGGTGTCCATGTGAGCACTGCCATCAAACACACGCTCAGGAATAATGGGCTCCTGAATCCACACCAGAAGGCCTGGCCTCACCCGAGTCTTGCTCTCATATCGGGCAGATATTACACCCATGGAACACGAATAACGTCAATGTTACACTGAAAAATTATCAAAAATAGCAGTAGAACGTACACTTAACCCCCTGATGCTAAAATATGCTCCAAAACTAAGGAGGCGGCAGCATCTGGGCGCACGGATTGGCCAAGGAGCTGTGACATAGCAAGGGGAAATCCATTGTGATTGGCTGCCTCAGGGGGTATGGTCCGAGAGAGGCGCACTATCATTGGCTCGCACTCCTCTCGCTCTGAACGGGATGTTGCCACTTTCTGGAACTGAGCGCACAGCCTGATACGTAACTCCAGGTCTGAGGCGAAATCACACCTTATTTTTGAAGGACTTTCAACCATATTTCTATTCTAGCTAGAAGGTTACATCCAATGCCAACATGTAGATTGTAGAGGAAGAGTGAAAATAGTGATATCCATCAAAAAAACGCATTTTGGCAGAGGTGTCGCTTCACCTTCTGACGCTGAGCACCTCATATGAAGATGATGATCATGGTTGTCCTTTGGAAGATCTTGGTGTATTTGCAGTAGGTGTTACAAATATTGTTAAACATATTTAGGAAATAATTTGGAATATTGTAAGTCTGTCACAGTGTTGGGTTTTATATTCTTTGCCAGTACTGTTGACATTTAATCTCACAAAACCCACTCTGGAGATATTTCCTCTAAGTTATCTATCACTGGTAGATTAACCACCAAGTATTGTAGTAATGTGATGTGATATTAAAATAGACCCTATCTTATAAAAAGGAATATATAAACAGTACATTATAGTTCCTATACTTATTAATAAATACAGAAACACAACAAATATGAACACAGTTTATAGGAGATGGCTAGTTATGGTGAAAGGATTCACTATTAAACTTAACTTAAAGACTTAACTCCTGGATTAATCCATTTAGAAAATCTAAGGATGAATTCACCAGTCTGAGTACCACAGGGTCTTTTTTTTGGGGCGCCGGTGGTAGAAGCGGTACTGCTCTTGCCTCGCAAGCGAGATATCACAGGTTCGATTCCCGGGCCGGTGGAAAAGATGTTGGGACATACTTCCTAGCCCCAATTGGTCCCTGTTCACCTAGCAGTAAAGTAGGTACCTGTTGTAAATCGAAAGTTGCGAATTCGTATTCAGGGACAAGTTGTTGGAGCTTCCAATAACTTGATGACAAAAACGATTGACTCTTCAGGCTTCTACGCCCTTGACCCTTCAGGCTTCTACGCCCTTAACTCATGAGACATAAAGGCAAGCATGAACTTAGCATGCTTCCCTGTTGGGCGCTGTAAACGCTTCTGCGCGTCACCTTACACAGGATATAGGGGAGTGCCCAATAAAAAAAAAATGTCTTTTTTTACTTTACTTTTATCATCTTCACCACTGATCGGCTCGTTAGCCATTTGGGCGGTCGGTCACTTCTCTGTTGGCAAGTACTGGAGGAGAACTCATGGCTGAGCCACACTCACACACACTGTCTGTTCACACTCTAGATGAAGTAGAAGCTCTGGGGTTCTGGAACCTCTTTTATAGGGAAATGTTGGTGAGGTCTGCAAACTATACAACAACATTCTTTTCATCACCATGCTGGCTACCCCACCTGACCAGGTTGGCTAGCATGTGGCATATGGCCCTGGGCCAAACTTGCTCCATGGCTTATCACTAGAACTGTTTTGAATTAATTAGTCATCTCCCTCACAGTGAAAAACTCCCACAACAGTTCAAACAAATGAGGCTGTAAACTAACACATGTGACAACATTGCATGTACAGTACTGTACAATGACTGTGTTAACTAACAGATATAATAACACCACAACTTCCTTCACACTCCCTCAATAACATGAGACTCTGCACATTTCCTCCTTGTAACTGAACTTGACTAAAAGCAAGATGCCACAGGAATTACGGTACGGCACCCAAATTACACAATGATCAGAAGGTTCTCTTTATTTACAAGTCTGAAAATTAATTGATTTAACCTATCAGAATTGAGCCATATCCATATGTCTTTTCCAGAACTACAAGAGAGTGGCAGTGGTGTGGATGGATGAATATGCTGAAGCACTGTACCGCAGGAACCCGCACCTGCGTGAAGTTGATGCTGGAGATGTGTCAAGAGAATTGGAGGTTTGTAATGAAATGAGTTATTTTTTCTACCTAAATTAGCAAATATATACACTGTTAAGATCAAGGTAAGGGCCCTATCATTATTTATAAAGGTTCAACAAAAATAATTAAAGCACAGTTCACTTGTCTGACTACCGCACGTTGTTTATATGTTTAGTTACCTGCTATAGTTTATCCGGTATCATTAAATAAATAGAAACTTATCTTTCTCCTTGTTGATGTGGAGTACCCATATTAACACATCGTCATGTACGTGGACTGTGTTTTGAGTCTCTTTGTAGGTTTAACTGAGAATATACTGATAGGGTGTGTGGTAAGTTGGGTGGCAGGTATCCAACTAACTTATGGTGCAGGCAGTGAAACACAAGACTAATCATGCATGCAAATTTTAGGCAAAACCATAATGTGATCCGCCAAGCCTTAAACTAATTCTCGTGGCTAATATTATAGTTTAATTCCCTAATATCATTTAATTCCAGTATAATATATACCCACCACCAAAAACAAATAAAAATCTGTGCATCAACATATACAGTACATTATACTTCATGTAGATCCACAGTGAAAACGTGGATAAGATAAATCTTGATAAAATCACATTATACGTATTCATTATTTACAAAAGTTTTGAAGCAAGTTCTGATTGCCAAAGATTAGCCAAACCCAAAGCAGCATGTCTTGGGAATTAAACACCCTAACAAGTGTATCTGGACCAGGATTTAATTCAACTATCCATCCCAATTTCCAAAGTGTTCAGGGGTCCCCCTCATCATGAATGAGGACATCACCTACAGACAGGCAATTATCATAGTTCTTCAGTAGGCATATATGTGTTTCTTTAAGGACCAATAAATATTCATTTGTCAAAATTTCCCATAAATCAGTGGAATATTTTAGGATACAAGATGTAACACTTTCTTTTGGGATAGTCCGTAATCTAGGTGTGAAAGTGTAATAACTTCCGGCATCTTCCATCAAACTAAAAACATAGGTCATCGGTCTATCATTAACTGATGCTTCAATTTCAAGCAGAAGTGTAGTCAGTTCTTCCAGGGTAATAAGATCTCTACCAAGAACTTTCTTTAATCCTGCTTTAACGATCCCAATGCTCCCAGATTATTCCAAACCAAGGAGCTCTTGCCAGAATAAATTTCCATTTGCAACGTATATCAGCAAGAAAATTGTTCACTGCCTCATAGCTTACTAATTCTTTAATACACTGTATACTATGTAAAAGGACTAATAAAGGTGGGAGTGTTATCTTTTGTAAGTAGCTGTGGAAATCCCTCTCTGCTACAGAAACACCAAAAGGCTTGTGGTAATGCATCTACGGTAAGTTATTCACTATTTTTTTTGTAGATTGCTCTAATCACCACACAAGTAAAGAGCACAGTTTGCCAACACTGTCTACTGCCTTTTTTGTACATAGTGCCGTCACTCTCCAAAATCTCCAAACTCAAAACAAAATATTGCCTTAATTACTTGAAAAGATGCCTGTAATTTGCTCCTCTAACAAGCTTTGAGCTGATAATTGTGTCAAGTGCTTATACATAACGTAACAGTTATTCTCTAAAAGACGTTCTTTATAATATTTTATATTACTTAGCTATTGTCAGTCATTTAAAGGATGTTTGTATGTTTAACATAGTTTTCTTTTATGTATAAAAGTATTTTGTAAAACATGTTTCATTATAATTTAAATATATTGCAATTATTTCCAGTCATTTAAGAGGCCCAAAAAGGTCAGCCCACAAGAAAAATTATTTATTTTCCCTTATTTATTAGTTAAAAGTTAAATAGTAAGAGATTAGAACCTCGAAAACTCTCAAACAGATGAGTGCAACTGAATTAACAAATCAAACCGTGAAATCATCGATGGACCCAATTTCCAGGACCTGGGCATGGGCGATGCCACTCCTTATACAGGGTACAATAAACACCTAATGTTTTTTTTAAATGAAATGCCCTCTAACATTATAATGAAAAGAGAAAAGATTTATTAACACATTTAGATACATTCCCATGTCCATGGAGAATTAATTTCACAATGGGTAGCCTTTAGGTTAGTATGGAAGCACCTAGTGGGTAGGCTGGTTCTTAAATAAAAAAAAATCGGGTAATTATGGCACACTCGGCGTTTATGCTTTTTACATATTATATATCTCTTTATGACTCTCTTTACCACTTGTCTAGTTCTAGGAATCCACCATTTCTGTCTAATATATAAGACACCATGATTCACTCCGTAAAACATACACTTTTGGCATTACTTAGATATTAGTAATGAAGCAATCCTTTGAGTATATACTTTTTACTTTTATCCTCTTCGCCACTGATCGCTTGGGCGATCGGTCACGTCTCTGATTACTTTTCCTTTTCATTTATCTTCTTCACCAAAAGATCGGCTCGCTAGCCGCCCGGGCGATTGGTCACGTCTCTGTCACGCACTGTTGGCAAATACTGGGCATGCACCGGCTCCTGAATGTACCTGAACCTGCTCCAGTGTTGGTCAAGTCTTGTCTTGAAAGAGCTCACACTCGGTGCCGTCACAACACTCTCTGGTAGATTGTTCCAAGAGTTTACAACCCTCACTCCGAAAAAATTTGCCCTTACGGTTTTCTGGACTTGCAGCTTCTACAATCTTGAGCTGTGACCCCTTGTGGGGTGAGAGTCTGCCAGCTCCAAGTAAGGACACTCAACTGAGTAGTGCCCCCTGAGATGCTTATACACCTCAACTAGGTTCCCCCTGGGCAATGTCTGTAGTATAAGCTAGGCAAGTTCAGGCGCTTCAATCTCTCAGGGTAGCTGAGGTGCCGAAGTGCAGGCACCAGTCTGGTGGCCCTCCTTTGAACATTTTCAACCAACTGACAGTCCCTAGCATATTTCGGTTAGGTTAGGTAGAAGCAATATGGAATATTTAGTAGAATTATCCCTTTAAACATCAACAGTCCTTTACTTTCAAACAACCTGAGTTCTTGCATCAGATTATTAGACTTCCTACAGCCTCCCATCATGGCTTCATATTCCTGAAGAAGCCTTCCTGTTGTACCTTCCTAATCAATTTATGTTCTACAGATAGCAACTCTTCAGCTAGCAAATCAGAATTCGTTGTTAAATCCAAACCCTTGACATTTAATTTGAGATTGTTGATGAATTGCATTGTCCATGTGACAACACATAATGCTCTGCGATAGCTGCCATAACAGTCCCATTCAAACATTATCAAATGGTGGGGGATGTAAGAAAGACTTAAAGAGGACAAATATCAGTTTCCCATTTACTAGCACTGGACAATAAAGGTCAGAGTAACAAAGAACAGACCGACCACCTCGTTAGCTAATAAGTGGTGAAAGTGGGTCCCATTGGCATGACTGCTTGTTAGTGACAGTGAGAATACAACACATTGTATACTAGCCTTCGGTATACAAGGAGGTAGCATGGTCGGTACTGCACTCGAACACATCCACTTCCCTAAATCGTAAACTTAGCTACCCATTTCCAGCTGGGTAAACCGGGAGCACCTGCGAATCGAACTTCGGACCCCTGGAACAGGAGGCAAGCACTATATCCACTCGACCGCCGTGCTAAATAAGTAATTGACAATGATAGATTAAACATAAAAATCATTACAGAAATTTTCCCTCAAAGAAACACCATCTCAATATTAATGCTCCCACTAGAAAATGAACCTCCAGTTAGTTCAATTCCAACAGTGGATTAGAAGACAAGAAAAATATTGCAGTACATCTTAGTTGCCCAAAAAAGGCTTATGACCTTCAGTTGTGACCAACCTTGGACAAAAGATGATACTATACAATATTTATTCTATTTAATGATTGTGTGTTCATGTGAAGCTCCATCTACTGTATATACCTCAATACATGAGGTAATGTTTGCACACCCAAACCATAATAGGCATTTTTCAAGTAGGTTAACAATACCAACCCTTAACACAAACTGTTCTGCCAACAGATACGTGAACGTCTCCAGTGCAAAAGCTTCAAATGGTACCTGGAGAATGTAGCGCCCGACTTGGTGAAGAGGTATCCACCAGTCGAGCCACCAGACTACGCTAATGGAACAGTAAGTAAAGATTCCACTTTCAGAACCACCCAACTATCAGGAGAAGTATCTTAAATAATCAGATTAATTTTATGCAACTTAGGCCTTCCACCAAACCATGTTAAAGAATCTCCACTTGAACCACCAAATTAGACAAAAAAAGGAACGATCCTTTCCCTCTACTAAATTTAAATTCCTAAACACCTGAAACAAATATCCCATCGCACTGATGTACTATCAGCAAATACACTCTTTAGTTTTGGCCAAATTTTGGGGTTATTCATACTCTAAAACTTAAGATGATGTTGGGTCAGACAGTGGCTGCAGATTACTTACAAATATCAAACAAATACTGTACTTTCATATTTCAATCAGTTAGAAGATGCATACAAAAGGTATGGAGTATAAGCACCATTTACTCCTCATTTTAACGAAGTTTATTACCTCTGAAAAGCATGAGGAAGAATTCTTAAGACTCCTGTACCAAGATCAACTTTAAAAACTATGGAATACCATTTAGTGCCATAAAATGTTTGAATAATCTTCCTTCATAAGCTGCTTGTCTAGCAAAGCACTCATGCAAAAAAGTACAGAGTACATGAAAGCTACACTAGGACCATCGAGAAAAATTTAAGAGTCAAAGTTCATAGAAGGAATTTAAAGAATTTGAGGCTCTGAATATTGAACCAACTGCATCAGGAGGAAGAAAATTTTATAATTCTTCCCAGGATCTGTAGCTCATCATAAACTGGGGTATGCTTATGAATTACAGTAAACCCTGGCACGAATAGGCAAAACCATGAATAGCAACTTATACTGCCTTCATGCACTACTGTATACCTATACCAAACAACCGACCAGTTGCAGCAGCACTCATCCCCCCCTTTAACTCGTCTAATAATTAACTTTCTTTGTCAGGGTCATCGCTGACTTCTGCCTTTTACATTTCACTCCACTAGCACTGACACTAGGTAGTCTTTTAGGGGTCATTTTCACACAGGAACACTTTAGTTTTGACAGTACAACACAAGCAATAGCTGAGTGCAAACAAAGGGAGAGGAGACGCTGCTGGCACATAGGGTGACTCATTGAGCTGTGAGAAAAGGCTCACAAGCTAGTCACCATTTGCTTACTGTGAAAATCGAAATCGCGAATCGCATACCCACGAATGGCAAGGGTCTCCTGTACTTAGGTGCAGCTGTTGCACTATAGTGTAATAAATTAATTACACAAAGTATGTCAAGCCAATACAAATTTTCTTCCCATTCAATTTCTGGTATTTCTACTAATTGCATCCTTTTACCAATTTTTTTTCCCTTTAGACAGTTTCCTGAACTTGTAACTACTTCAACTTAGCGCCTAGTGCATCCACCAGCTCTAGGTATGAACACTCAACTGAGTAATGTCTTTATAAACTTCTATTAAGTCACCCCTTTCCACCAATAGTATAAGCTAGGCAATTGCAGTTCTAATCTTTCTGGGCACCTGAGGTGTTAAAGTGTAGGCACTAATCTGGTGGCCCTCCTTTGGGCGTTTTCAATCAACCAATAGTATGTAGCATATCTCAGGGACAAAACAGGGTAAAAGTGCTCGGAATGAGGAAGCTCGACTTTCGAAGTGTTACGGGAGATGGACCATTTAGGTACTGTACAAGTATCTGAACATCCTTCTTATAAGACATTTGTTACGAGTTGGGGATTTAGAATATAGTTAAAAGTCTACCCAGATCCCAACAGGCAACAACAAAAAAACAAACAAAGACAATCGGACTATAAAAGGGTAGACAAAGGATGCGAGTTTTTGTTGTGTATAATAAAGTGCCATAAATTCCTTAACAAAATATTCAGCTTTCTATAATTTACCCTTAACCATACTTAACCTAAACATTAACAGTATATACATATTTATACAACATACAATAATTTGAAGCAAGGTGGAGGTGGGGGAGGCAATATAAGATTACAAATACTTAAGTGCGGAGCTGAGATGGCTGACGAGTAAGGCTGAGTATTGTAGTAGACGGTAGGTAGTCACTGTGCCGTAGGTTTCCAGGATAGGTGGTCCTGTGGTCACTTCCCAGAGTGAACTGAACTCTCCTCGAACTGGAGCTGACAAAGAAGACTTTGAGGAGGTGATGCAACAACCAGGATATGGAGAAGGGAAACCCCAGAGTGGTAACTAAGACGAGTTATACTCGTGTTTCGTCCCTAGATGGCGTTGCTCGTGGTGCTGGGTAGGTAGATCAAGACAAAAGATGGCGTGGTTCGTAGTGCTGGGTAGGTAGATCATGACAATTGGTGGCGCGGTTCGTAACACACCCCTCCCTCCAAAGACCTCTGTAGCGCGGGCGCGAAGGAGGTGATCACCTGGTGCGTCTGGGGAGTAGCTGCTGCATTTCCACTGGAGCTCGGGATAAGGAGTCCGCAATCAGGTTGTCCACCCCCTTTATGTGCCGGACTTGTAGATTATAGGGCTGGGTGAGGAGAGCCCAGCGGAGGATTCACTGGTTGGAGGTCTTGTTGGTTTGGATGAACGTGAGTGGGTTATGGTCGGTGAAGACTAGGGTTGTTTGTGGGCAAGACTGGAGGTAACATTCAAACTTCTTTATTGCCAACACCAGAGCCAGGGCCTCCTTCTCTATGGTCGAGTAGTTGGTCTGATGTTTTTCAACTTGGCGGAGTAGTATGCCACAGGGTGAAGGACATCAGTGGTTGGGTCGGGTTGTAGGAGCACAGCCCCCACTCCGACACCGCTAGCGTCGATTTGCAGATGGAAGGGCAAGGTGTAGTAGGGAGAGCTCACTCACAGCCTGTGGGGTACTGGTTGTTTGGTTCCTCACTCAGGATAGGATGGAGAAAGGAAACTCACAATGTGCTCTCTGTATACATATTATATTGGATGTACAGTGCAGCTTGGTGCTGGGAAGTGGCAGCGTGGTTACAAGCGTGATGTAGAGAGAGCTGGTTGGTGAGGATGCTCAGAGGAGCACCAGCTTGTGGGTCGCCATGCTCGCCGGCGAGAGCGAGGGCCGCCAGACAGGAGTGGAGGAGGTGGTGTTTCTTGAGGACTGGCTGTAGGTAGAAAGAGAGCTAGGTCACCACGAGGTCAGGTCTTATATAACGGAGGTAGGCGTGGCTTAATAGTTGACCGTCATGTAAGACGGCGCTGGTTGACCTAGACCACGAGGCATACACTGGGGAATACGCGGGGTCGGCTACTCAGCGACAAACAGCGTTTGTAGGGAAGGAATCTACTGCAAGCCTTTGTTGACGTTTCACAGTACGCATGTCGGATGACCCAAGCGTTTCTCCCGCCAATATGTACCACCAATAACGTGTTAATTTCTACGTTTACTTGACTACTTTAATCATGTAAGTCCAACTTTAAACCCCTGAAATTAAAAGAAAAAAAATCTGATTCGTTTGAAGAGAGTTATACAGTACAGTATTATAAACGACTTCTTCACACACACACACTCAACCTGAGAATAGCGCCTTCACTAACTCAATTTTGTATTATGTTTTACTGTAGATTAAGAGCGTCGCGTCGCCTACACTCTGCCTGGACAACGGCTCTAAGGAATACGGCCCTATCATCATGTATGGCTGTCACGGCGGCGGTAGTCAGGTGAGATCGAGTCAAAGTTTATTAGATACAACAGTACTATATAAATATTTATATGAAGATAAGCAACTCCAGTTTATTCATCTGATTAAACACCCTAACACTACATGGGGGTATAAGTAAGATCAGTTTGCTAGGTGTTTTCTAGGGTGTTTAATAAGCTGTGGGTGCTAATCTTCACATGGTCCAGTACACTTTTTTTTAGGTATTACATGAAAGTACAGGTACACTTATACCCAATTGGTGACAGTAATATCTTAATATACCGTATGTCATTATAGTTGTACAAGATCTGCAAGTACACTACAGGTACTGTAACATGTACGGAGAGAGAGAGATAGAGAAGGAGAGAGAGAGAGAGACAATTACCATGTAGTAATATTATCATAGAAGTAATGTCTTATAACCCAGCAATAAATAGAAATACCTGTATACTTGAATGGCCATAACTAGCAAACAATAATCCAATATAATTTATTTAAGTAGCCTACTATATAGTGAGTTATCATAAATGGTAATACAAGCCAATTTAATTATATATTTTGCGAATACTGTATATGATGAGTAAATAATATATACTGTACGCATATATAGAAACATGCATTGTGTATAGATGACCGACCATGTATTTTTATTTCATATGACTTCCATGGGCTATACTTATTGTTTACCATTGCTTGTATACCTCCAGTGTCTATGTGTACATTGTTTTCATACATTTAGTGTCTATGTGAACCTTTGTTTGTATAACTAGTACCTGTGTACATTGTTTGTAAACCTGTAGTGTCTGAAAAATTGTACATCTTCACTATGCACTATACCAGGCATGGACAACCAGTGACTCGGCGGCCTGGACCAGGTGTTTGTGCTGCCCGTGGAGTGATTGAGAAATTCAATTTAATGTGGCACGCGGTTTAGGTAGATGCAACCAGTTTATGGCGAGTGAAGCAATATTTATTAAAGGAATAATCTTCACACACAATTCGTTACTGTTTTATCACCTAAGAGTAAATAATTACGAAAATGGTTTAGCTGCTATGTGGTAGTGGGTCACTGGGGAATTAACTCAGGTTGAGTAAGTCCAAGTGGGTTCACGGGCGGTGGTCACACAGCATTTAACTAATTAAGAACTTCCAGAACAACACAAAAACACCTTAATAGCACATCGGAATTCGGAAACCCTTAGTTGGGGAGTAATTAGCGTTGAAATAATGTGATTCAAATTTTCCAGGCGTCATTACGACCACTCATTACCCCGTAATCTAATCGTGGACCATAGATTTGGAGAGCGATGTGCCTATAGGTTGTTTCATTGTAGTTCCTCATATGCCAAAATTAACATTGGCATTATTCTGATGGGTAGTGCCGGCCTTAAGCCAATTGGACCAATTACTCCCAATTGGGCCCCGCGCCTAAGGGGGCCCCGCGCAAGAGTAATCTACTGTCGGCTCGTCAAGTACACACAGCATCACATTGCAATATATATATATAACACCACATTGCAGGTTCTACAGAGAACAGCAATTATTATATTTTATGAATTTTTACAAAGTCGGTAGTGTTTATTTATACTGTTTATGTTTTGATATTTTTTAACTGTACCTGAATTAAATAATATGTTAATTATAGAACAGCAGTAAAAATAATTTCTCTGAAAAAAATTATAAAGACAAATATGTAAATAAACGTGTAACAGCTTTTAAATATCTATAAACCTATAGTATTTTCTTTTAACTGTATCATGTGATTAAATTACTATATTACATCTTTATGCACATGCACATCTCTGTTGCAAAATATATAGTAGGCCTATATTCAGACTCAAGTATTTAAGTTTTACAAAAGGGGTCGGGGGATAGGGGTAAATTATCCCAAATGCGACATGAGGGCCTCAGTTCCTCGAGTTTACTCCGCATTGTTATAAAACGTTTTCTTTGGCATGGTGACTGACCAAAGGCTCTAGAGGTCGTCAGATTTACGTTTGTTTCCATCTCATGGTATGAGTTTCCCTTCCGTCGAGTGTAAACACAGCTGACTGGCTCTTATACACTGTACAATGAATACCCTCACTGAATATATATATATATATATATATATATATATCCTATGGCTAACAATGCAACTGATTTTGGTGTACGACGCAGTACTTCGCTCTATGCTGGCGTAAGACTATAAGGATCCAGAGTGAACAGTTCTGCTGGGTAGTTCCTCACACTCAGAGCAGCCCACCCACCACCTCCAACTGCCGCATAGGAGAACACATCCCCTCCATGACCTGGCGATATGACCCTGTGAGTTGGTAACACTCCCTTTTATGTTATAATGTATTACTGCGCTTTAGTATCTAAGGTCTTTAATTGCTTATTCTAGTTTAGTAAACACATTTTTCTCTCGCAGTCTAACCAACTCACCATTGGTCTGAATTTAATATTGTCTAAGTTCCTCATGTCATAACCTAGCCAAGCTTCAACTGAATGGACTTAATCAAGTCAAGCTGAACCAGACCAGACGACTAAAGTTGATGTTATTTATCTCAACCTAACTTATGACAAGCTTAACCTAAGCTAACCCAAGCTTAATCTAATCTAACCTAAGTTTAACCTAACATAATCAAAGCCTAACTTAACCTAACCTATCTTCTAACCACACCGAATCTAACAACCTCACCAACTCACCTCACGCTTAACCTAACCTCACCTAACTTATGCTTAACTTTACCCCACACACAGGAGACACAGCAGATACAGTCAGAGAGTAGTGGGTGGTGCGTCGAGGCTCAACCCAATAGCCACACCCTCAAGATGGCCGTCTGCGACAACAACAAGGTGGAGCAAAAGTGGATCTTTAGTTTCACCAACACCAAACTCATCCAAGACCAATACCCGCATTTCCCCAAGTCTAGAGATACGCTTTAGAGAGAGAGAGAGAGCAAAACAGTGTGTAAGCAAGGCATGAAAGCCATATATAACCTATAGTAGTTATTTTTTTATTGAAATCCAAAATAAGCTTCGCCCCTCATTCTAGTTTTGGCTTGTGATTGGTAAGACCCAGACGCCTACGATCTCATGAGTTCTGAGTCAAAATGATCATCTACTTGTTCCTCAGAAGTCAAGTCGGTCGGAGATTAATATTTAGCATAGTAATCTCTTTCTCTGCTTACCCAGGTATGGAGTAGGCTAACAGTAATATAAGTAATGTACAGTACCTGTCGTAGCCTACAGTACATGCAAAGTAGGTTAAATGTTTGTTACAATGTCTTATGATTTTTTACATTAGGCTGGTTTCAAGAAGGTTGTAACAGATGTCTCCTAATCACGAACAGATATAAAACACCAATAGTAGCCCGATAAGAAAAAAAAAACAAGCAAACTAATTTACAGGGTTGCCAACTCGGATTTTCAAATGTCGCTAGGCTGGTACCTAAAAGTAGCTAAATGTCGCTAAATCTTCCATGGAAAGTCGCTAGCTATTATTCCCCCCCCCCCCCTTCAGTAATTTGATGCAAATTATATTTTCATAATGCCGACTATAATGGACGGAGTATAAATAAAATGCATTATGTAAAAATAAAAATATTTTTTTTAAAGTTTAATGTGCACACTTACCTATTATTCAATAGTAATTGCATCCCAGTCCTCTTCGTAGTCGTCGGTAGTGTGAACAACTGTAGAGCTGGAAGCATGTGAAGTGCTTGGTTCAGGTTCTCGTGCAGATATCTTGTAACTGTATGCCTCCACAGTCCCTATCTTTCTTGAAATATCACTAGGAAGTTCATAACTTGCACAACAGGTGTTCTGTATTTTTAACCCATACTTTATTGTAAGAATTGCCTTTAATGTCGATAGTTTCATTTTGTTGCGCAATTTTGATTTCACAAAGTTCATATTACTAAATGTGCGCTCTACATCTGCGTTTGAATGCGGAAGAGATAAGGCAGCGAGTGCAATTTCAGCCAGATCATGGTAAGGGTTTTCACCTGTCGCATCTCTGTAATTTGCCACTTCTGACCACAATTTTAGGGTGTTAGATGCATGGACGGGCTGACATCAAGTGATCAGGAAATAGACGTGTCCCTCCTTCTGTACCACGACCCGTTCAAATGTATTCAACTTTTCTTATTATTTATTGTCCCTGTAACCCCGTTGCTATATATTATGGCTCGAAATTAGGAAAACTGAGTTTTCATGGACAGTCCAAAAGTATCCAGAAAGTCGCTAGATTTCTGTGGATATCTCTAGATTTGCGACAAGTCGCAAATCGCTCTAAAATGTCGCTAGAAAAAAACAAAAAGCTCTAGATCTAGCTACAAAGTCGCTAAGTTGGCAACTCTGCTAATTTAACTGGTGACTCGCTACTCAGTGACAGTTATCACATGCATAAGCTGATTGTGAAATTTCTTCTTAGTTATAGCTCTTGGTGTATCCACACAAGTAAGGGAAAATATTATTTATTTAATCTTATACATTACGTTTTATGAACGAATATGCCCGCCGAATGTAATGGATAGGCCCTATTAATTAATGCTTTTTCTTATTTTTTTAACAAATCTAACTGCGAATTTAGATAACTCAAGTAAAATTGGCAAACACATATGGTGATGTACTTCAGTAAGCTACAGTTTATCAACCCGATTTATATAATTATAATTTCAATATACTAAAAGCATCTGTCATCTTATTGATAACGTCGTAGTCCAGAAGATTCCTAATACAAGCACCTGACTCACGCGAATCCCTCTCGCCAACTTCTGTCCTGATTTTATTTAATGAATTACCGTATTATTCCCATGAAACAAAAATCCACCTTTATTCATTCATTTGCTAGCTACATTATTTGGCATGATGATGCATTAACAATATAATTTTTGCAAAACTTTATTAAAAAAAATACATCATTAAATGCTCTAGATTGACTAAAATTTACTTCTACAGGGCATACTGTCATATCATACAATCACAAATGACACGATGGCGATGCTTATTTTGGATAGCAATAAAAAATTAACTATAGTCAGAGCAGGCATGTACTGTACAATGGAAGGAAAGGTGGTTTAAGAGAAGAAAGAGGATAAGAGAAGTGAATATCAGTTAAGGTAAAAAATTAATAGATGATGGTTGAATATACGGAGGGAGGGAAAGAACAAGAAATAATTACAAGATGGTATATAATATATACTGTACGTGCAGCATCCTGCATTCCAGATTCACATTGGTACTGTACATCTGTTAACTATTTCTAATGAATGGAGAAGTAATGATGTGCCTAAAACCAGTTAACTTAAGATAATTCACAAATTAAATCAAAATAATTACACTGAGACTCTTAACTAGAGACGTTCACTTAGTATAATGTTCCGAACCCCTTTCGCCGATTACCAGCTTCGACTGCTGGTTACCAATGGCCAGGTTTTATATACACTACTGTATACAGAAGCAGTAGAAATATCACGTGTCGAATTACTACTCGCTGCCCGGCCAGTCTCCGTATAATTTCCCGTCGATCGGTATCAGTGTACAAACAACAACAGGCAGATAGATTTCCACTAGGTCACAGAAACACACTTGTGACTGTAATCTTCTTTAATAGTCATTAAATCTACACAAAACTGTTCACAGGGTATGTCTTTACCACTGGACTTCTCACTTCGAATATATACAGTACATTTCCTTAGTCTTTTCACTTTATATCGCTCACAACCATTCCATAATACTTGAACAACTATTATCTTTAGCTGTTACTAGGCTTGTTTTTCACACCGAACAGAAAGTCAACTCTTTCCTAGGCAGCTCGCTGGTGCTATTTATACATTCTTCAGGCGTCCAGGGCATCCCAGTACCAACCAGGCGTTGGAGGTCGGAACGACATACGTCTGGAAGGTTCTAGAATGATCTAGGCTTACAATACATAAGTAAATAGTTAAAAAAATGCTGCAATACATTCTAAAAAAATCATACTAAGGTAATACAATACATCAATATATACAAGAAAATCTCCCAAAACGTACCAAAATAACTGCTGCTTGGAATATAAAATAATCAGAGTACCTCGTTCACAAAAATTTTAATACTAAATTATGCCTCGGCGTAACAATACCATTAATATGACAGAAAAACGTGATGCGAATGGTAACAGTACAGTATATCAATTTTGATTTGTCTGGTGGTAAGTAATCCCATCTAAAATTAATTCTTAGGTTAGTTTTAATATTTTTTGTACTTTTGTGTTTTATCTTAAGTTAAATATATAAGTACATTAAAAGTCTTCAATTACGAAAAATATTTATCTTGAGAACTTAGGTGAATCTGGACCTTCGAGGACGTTCAAACAGATGTGATAAAATCCATCCAATAAGATAATTATAAAGTGTCCTTATTTATTATTTTTTTCTCCTCTTTATTTTCTTATATTATGCTGGTAATTTTATGAGTTTTTTCCCCAATAGTGTATCAGTGCGTTAAAAAAAATAATCCAGGGAAAAAAGCACAAGAAAAAAAGTAAAAAAAAGGCAAGGAAAAAACCTAACCTAACTTAACCTAACCTACGTGCAATGCCATCATATATATACAATATTGTGTTGTCAATGTGTACAAGTTCTGTGACTTTTTTTCCTGTGACTATTTCCGTTCACCCCAAAAATGTGTGGTAATTTATATAACCAGCAAAACGATCATTTCCCGCCATGGCTGCTGTGGTATCAATGCACTTTTTAGAAACAGGAAAAACAACACAACCAAACCTAACTTATCTAACTTTACCTAACTAATTTTTATATAGTACAGTGCATTCCAAGAGCGTTAGGTCAGGTTTGGTTGGTTCATTATGCCTGTGTTAAAAGTGGTTGTACGATTTTCACCAGTAATACTATTTGGAAAATCTAACGTTTTAAAACATTTATATAATTCGCATAAGAGTAATATTACTTACCGCGATTTTTATTGAAAAATACAAATCAAGTTTCATGTAGAGATTCCATGCATAAAAACATTTGTGTTTACAGCATTCACACAGTCCGAAGGCAAAAAAAAAAAGTCATGCTATTTAACATTACGTATTTTTCACTTTTGTATTTCGTGTATCACAAAAATATATTTGTTAGGAACCAGAAGTGGAGGTGTGAGAAAGTACTTCACTGAGACTCTACCTTAACTACCTACCACTTAACACTAATTACGAGAGGAAATTAATGTAAAGAATCTTTTCGAAAACATTCTGTTCCTTAGTATTAATTATTTCCTGATGCTACGTTACTACCGTATTATGTAATGACGGTAAAGTTTCAGTATAATTTTGAGGATATTTCTGGATGTTATATTTGTGTCTTACCTTACGAAGATATTTTATTACACAAACGTTTGATGACGGTGATCGTGGCTCACTGAGCGTTAATTCCCACAACTATCCCAAACTTGCTAATTAGTTGTTCGAGATATGATTTAAAGTGAATAACTAATTACAGTACTGGGACTTAATTTTCTTCTTCTCTTTGTGTAATTCCTTTAACTAAACCGGACATAATTGTAAAACATTATTTTTGTCCTCGTAAATTTGATTTGGAATAATTTTTGGTTTACACAACTAGTCGAAGTGCGAGTTTAGCCTCATAGAAAGTTTGTTAGTAGTTTAGATGTAGAGAGTGCCATGAATAAATTTAATCTGGGAATAGGATATATGCTATTTAGCCACCCTACCAGTTACAGACAATAAGGGGCTAAATTATTTCTTGCAAACAGACGAACCCAACCTACTCTATCTTACTTCAAGTTGATTTTAGTTCGTTTGTGTCTCCGGAGTAATTGGTATTTGTTGTGTGTCGAAAAAGCACTTCTGTCCCTTAATCGGATTAATGAGTTGGTTTATGTGGTTCTGGTCCCCCATCTAGGTAATTAAACCGTCCATTTGAGAGGTAGTGTTCTAATTTTCTTTTGCTTATTTTGTCCACTCGACGCCCTAGGGGAGAAGGTGGTGGTGGTGGTGGTGGTGCACAGCATCTGTGGCCCTTAAGACTCACCGCTAAGTTAGGGACACACGTTATCAATAATATACCTCAATTATTGAAATATATTACCTCTGTTGTGAAATGTTGACCCTGGGAGGTGATGAGTTTGTTTGGTATATACGTTAAAAAAATGTAAGTTAGGGACACACGTTATCAATAATATACCTCAATTATTGAAATATATTACCTCTGTTGTGAAATGTTGACCCTGGGAGGTGATGAGTTTGTTTGGTATATACGTTAAAAAAATGTAAGTTAGGGAAAGTGGGTCAAGATACAAGCCTTCGTTAGGAATCCTTGCCAAGATGGAGACCTTAATTAGGGAAAGTTTGTCAAAATAGAGGGCTAACAGATGGTACCCCCTCCCACCCGTCCCGACCGCCTTG